CAACATTGTTTCCTGGGAACGTGAAGTAAAGCAGCCATCACTGCACATGCATGATACATAGATGGCCTAGGAAAGCTTTTGAAGCAGCTGCACCATAGGTTGTGACTGCCTTACAACTTCTAGGACCCGTGTTTTGCTCTCACTCATGGCTTCTGTGAAGCATAGATCAGCCAAACTTTCCAGATCATTAAAGAAGACACAAAAGTTCAGTATGAAATGTAAATATGGCAACCAGCTGAGATAAAGCAATGAGTTGAGTCTAGCACAGGGTTGTCAAACTCACAGCCCGCGGGCCGAATGCATCACATGCTGGCCATGCCCACACCCGGTTTAACAAAGGGGGGGGGGGAGAGAATTCCTGATACATCATGTGACGCCATTGTTACGACGTAAGTTTGACACCCCTGGTCTAGCAGCTTTTAAAAGATTCATTTTTATGCCTTGGATAAATCTTCTCATGAACACAGTAAGAAAACAAGAGCCAGTGAATATTAATATCAACCTTGTGTCATCTAAGCAACAGTGTTTCCATGAACATAGAACACAGCTTTATCAGTCCTCATAAATATTGATTGAATATACACAGATAAGGTCTGTTTAAACTGTCATCATTGTGATAACACATATACACAGAGACAGTCTTGAGTCTTAGTCATGGCTACTGCTTAAAAAGCATCTCTAAAAAGTGCAGACCTCATGAAATATGTGTCATTTAAACCATTCAGAGTTTCTGTGCCTGATTTGCATGTAGGGATGTGGGTGGGAAAGTGGGAAGGGTTGTTGGGAATGTATGTGTTGTACATGTTTGTGGCACCAGCTTCATAGGTCAGTCTTTTTAGAGTGAATTTTGCTCTACTAAACGTGAATTAGATAAATATGGGTACGTCCTTTTAGTAAACTTCATTCATGATGGACCAGCAAATATGGACCATTTTAAACAGCATAATCAATATTAATGCCTAATAGATCAAAATAGTCACATTTGTGCTCATATCAGTGGAAAGGACAGAAGACAGAAAATGAGCTTTGAAACATCCTATTTTCTTTTTTTCCAAGTTCCTGCTCAAAATCAAATTTCAGTATAACAGGGCTTGGGAATGTGTGTCTATATTCCATTCTGTATCATATCACTGTTGACCTAGGAATACTTGAAAGCTCAATTTTTCAAATCTAGTGATTACAGTGACACCAAATGGTACAGAAGAGTAAAGACTCATCCAAGAGTTGCAGTTCAGTAACTCTCAGTAACGAGAGATCCTGACTCTTGCTCATAAAACATGGAATTGATAGGTACTATTGAACATTGGCACAATGGAACAACCAAGGATTTTCTTCTCCTGTCCTCAATACCCAACCATTCTATTTGTCTGAATTGGTATATGGTTTCCTGCCTTAGCACGGGGTTGGACTACAAGACCTCCAAGGTCTCTTCCAACCCTATTATTCTATTCTATTCTATTCATAGCCTGTAATGGGAAAGAGATCCAGAAATACTTTGCTGCAAATTATATATATATTTATGGTCTGATTCTACAAAAAAGTTGTATGCCAAAACTGATAGGATTGCCCTGAATTATTTACACTTTTTGAATTAAAAAAAGGCAGGGGATTAAAAAAAGGAAGTTTATACCATTAGTTTGAAGAACTATATAGCACAGGCTACACATTTAGACTGTTCGTTGGTTTTATACAATTTCTATTTCCTTTCGTAAAAAAACATTTTTACTTTTTTGTGCAGGCAGATAAGCAGGGTATTTTTTGTGAGTTTCATATTGTTGCTTAAAGTCAGAGGACAAGGACATTTCCCCAAGGTAATTTTTAAAATCCCCTGGCAACTTTAACCATTTTTATTTATGTTCTCCTTACCTATATATTCAAAACATTGAAATGAATAAAATTATTTCAATAAAAAATGTTTCCGTTTTTTAAATATAAAAAGGAAGATAAATTTTTTAGAAAGGTTTTCTTAATGAAAATATAAATTTATAACACTTTAATAGCAAAAATTAAAAATTAAAATTCTGAAGGAACAAAACGGGGAAAAGAGCACCAAAAATATAGGAAACTGAATATATTTTGAAGAAAAGCTGCTTTTTATTGATATGAAAAGGATAGGTTTGGAAAGCTTATAGGAACTAGATGACTCCAAGAGAGTAAGCTGATGCCATTCCCTGAATATTTATGGAGATTCTCAGTCATCCAGGTCATGGTTGCCTCAAAGGTGCTTTTTCAAAAGGCAACTGGGCTTCGTTTTCTTTGAAGATGCTTTTTCTCATTCTTGGATGAGAAGTGAAACGTCTTCAAGAAAAAACAAAGTCCAGTTACCTTTTGAAAAAGCACCTTTAGGACATTCCCTGGATAGCAAAGAAATGCTGCAAGTTACAGTACGGTTTAGTTCGAACATGCCAAGAAAGATAATCACCTCATCAGTGTTTTTACAAAAGAACACACAGCCTAAATCTTGCCTTAAGATTTTTCAGAACATACTTCAAGGCAAAGAATAGTCTCCTGAATAGTTTTGCCGGAGACGAATTGCCCACCTGGTGAAATCAAGAACTCTCGCCACTTTCTCTTGCCCCAAATGCAAAAGATGGAGCCCAATACCCAGAGGAAGATTTCACTTTATTGGAACAATGATCGTTGAGCTCTAACTTGCAAAGAAAGAGAAACAGAGAACAGAAAGGAAAATCTTATATGAAGATTTTGAGTTGTGACAAGGGAAATTCTAGGGCTCTGATTTACTGTCAGGATCTTGAACCATGCAGGAAAAACTGGATAAATTTGGCCGCATAGAGAGAGCAGGGTTTTTGTGTTTTTTGTTAAAAAACCTTCCTTGAGCATGCAGATGTTGGAAATAACCAATTTTTTTCTTGTTAGCAAGTGAGAAATATTGATCAATTAAGTGCTTATCTCCAAATTAGTTTGTGCAATTTCTTTATTAGATTTTGTCTTAGTTGGTTGCTTAGGAACCAACTGTCTCTACTCAATTTCATTTTATTCTTGTAAGTGGTGAGCAAAATTTCCTTGCTAAGTTCCTTTGGATGTTTCAGGGTGATGTCAGGTGAGGAACCTGCTCCTGCCACTTATGTTGGCAAGTAAGCCAGAGGGGTCCTAGAAAGAAATTTCTGTCTGATTTCAGCCATTACACTCTATTGCTGCCACTTTATGAAATACTCTCCCCCATGGCAGCTCCCACCTTGTTGCAGTTTAAGAAACAGCAGACATCAAACATCAAAACTGTTTCAACATGCTTTGGAACCTAATTGACTGGCTATGTGCACCTAGCATGGTTTTGTTTGAGTTTATCTCTGTTTATGATTACTTTTTTACATTGTTGTGATTTACTTATTATGTTTTTAATTTTCTTTTTGATATATTCTGCTAAGAATTCTTTAGGTTATGCAGAATGTTTAATAAACAAATCAATCCACAAGTGGCCCTATAAGAATGTAGTCTCATATGTGAAAGGTATTGTACGTAAAGGCCTCTTTTGCATATCATTTGTCAAGGAGGGGGGAAAATAGAGGAAAATGGAATTGATATGGAATTGGAATAATCTGGGCTGCCAAACACGATGGCTGGACCCCATCAAAGCTCCTACTAATTGGCCAAGTGTTCCATCTCTCAGGCTGGGGGGTCAAACAGTACGCCCCTCAGACAGGGTCCACAATCTGGGAGTCCCCCTGGACCCACAGCTGACTTTTGAACACCACTTGTCGGCTGTGACAAGGGGGGCATTTGCCCAGGTTCGCCTGGTGCACCAGTTGCGNGCACTATTCCCTCCCCAATTGCAAAAACGGCCTGTGTGGACACCGGCAGATCTGAAATGAAGGCGTTTCAGGCCATAGATCTGGCCAGGAGGAAAGAGAAAGTGAGTCTGCAGTGCCTGCATTTGGGGAGGGAATAGTGGTCGTGCCACCCGAAAAAGCTTTCCTTCCCGATACCAAAAACCTGGCGTGAGGAAGGCTGCTTTGGTTCCTGTCACCAAGTATAGGCTTCACAGCCGGGTTTCTTTCCCCCCTCCCACTCTTCTCATTATACAAAGTTTCCTGGTAGGAGAACCACACGGATTGCTCCCCTGACAGCTGGCTTGCAAGGACTGCTTGATCAGGATTAGGGGGGATGAATCTCCATTCCACGCTCTTCCCCCCCCCCCTCCCGAGCTCCCCTCTGGACTCTTCCCCACCATGCACGGACAAAGGCAAAGCAGCCAGAAGCAGAGGAAAGAGGGGAGCCTCGCAGTGGCAGCTTCCCCATCCAGATGGAGCACAATCAGAAGCGAAAGCAGTTCACCTTCCGCTCAAACGGCTGTCATGATAATAAAGCTGTCTTATTGTATGAATATGTAGGGAAGAGGTTGGTGGAAGGCAGCAGATCTGAAAGGAAGGCGTTCAAGGAGGTGGAGATCATGGCAACTGTCTTACGCCTCCTGTACAGTGCCTGCTTCGCCAACTGAATCCTGACCCTCATACTTCTCAGGGCCGCTTCAGGAAGCAGCAAAGGTGTAGGGGGCTTTCTGGGAAGCCCGCAACGTGTTTATGAGATGGCAGCATCCAGAAGGACTACAGTGCTGCGTCTCTATCGGACTTGCTGCAAGAAAGCCAGGCTTTCAATGCCTACAATTATAGGTAGGAAGATGGGGTGTTTCAGGAGTGGAGCCTTCGGTGCCAAGTTCCTCTTCTGCCCCCATAAAAATCATACCCCACCCCACCCAGTTAAATAGCATAGGGTGTTAGGGTTTGTTTTAAAGGCAAAAAAGATCGTTATCAAAATCCAAGTGGAAGTGAGGATCCCCGCAGCCTGGAACCACCAGAAAATGTGACGCGCAGATCAGGAGATTGAGGCTACATTCAGAGTATAAGACGCACCCAGATTTTCACCCTCTTTTTTGGGGTAAAAACGTCTGTCTTATACTCCGAAAAATACGGTAATAACCACCTAATGTCAAGTCAATTTAAATAACTTGCTGGATTCCTCTTAAGAAACAACTGTTTACTTACTTTCACAAGCACACATGTGTCCACAAGGCTGAAAGAGTACTGCAGCTTTTTTATCTGAGCATACAACACATTCTTCAATCTGTAAAAACAAAATAAAGTAACTTTATAGCATTTAGTTGTTCAATTAAATGCTTGTTAAGTGGTAGGAAGACCTATTAAAGATAACATCTAGCATGCAGAAAGACAAATTTTCCTGATGAGTCAATATTGTTTCTGCAAAACTAACTTTGCAGAAGTTTGAAAAATGATAGAGAGGATGATCATTTACGCACTGTGTGTTTCCATACTTTAAATAGTGCCTCACTGAAGTTTCCTGAATAAACAGTAAAAGCAGCATGAGTGATGGATTGATAACTAGTTCAAGAGAATGAATCAAGTGACAATGTTCAAAGCTAAGTAAGTTCCCCAAATTCCACATAAGGCCCATTACTTTTTAACTTGCTCATTCTTATTTAGAATTAGGAAAAAACCAGTAAGGAAGGAAAATTTGCAAATTACTGAGGAAAGAAAAACAGCTCCTATTTTTTAAACCCAATCTAAGTGAGCTAACATCACACTTAAAAATATGATTTAATGTACATATATGCATATACATCCCTGTATATGCTACTGTTTACAGGTAGTTCTGGACTTAAACCATTTGTTTAGTGACTATTCAAAGTTACAACAGCACTGAGAAAAGTGACTTATAACTGATGCTTGTATTTATGGCCATAGCAGCATTCTCTTAGTCACATGAGCAAAATTTGGTCACTTGGCAAGCAGACAGGGAAGGCATATTGCAGATCCTGTCAGTTAAAGAATCCCAACTTCTCTACCATTGCTCCTGCCCTGTGGAATATTTTCCTTTTGGAGGTCAGTTCTGGCTTTCCAAAAAAGGAGTCAGGGCTCCTCTGAGGGGCTGACTGGTGCCCTGAGAGCCCTCCTTCGCCTTTTAATTTATTTTAACAAAGTTTAATCCTCCTTGTCTCCTTTTCAAGTTAGAGAAGTTTTACCTAACTTTAATGATTTTATATGAAAAATCAGAAAATCTGTGAAGATACGTTTATCAAACAATTACAATTATCCCAACATGAACCTTCTATATGTAGAAGCAAAAACAAGGAATTATTATTGCTTTTACTTAAAAGAATCTGGTTGTCATTTTCAGAAATGGAATGCTGAACCAGATGTTCTGGTTTCACTAAATCAGGACTGTACATGCTAGATTTAATAGAATACATCATTAAATAAGACTATGGGGAGAACTACTGTTGTAAAGATAATTAATTCCTTCTGACAAGAGTTTAAACTATAAACAATTGGAATATCTGTTCTTTGTTTAAGCATTTGCTATATGTTTCATTTTAAAGGTAAATGATGAAATAAAGCACACACCTTTGTTCTTGATTGAACATGGTCTTTGCAAATGAGGCATTTCTTGACTCTTGGTGAACACAAGGAACAAGTAGCAATGTGCCCACATGGCCCAAATAGAGTATCTCTCTTCATGTCAGAACATACCATACATTCTTCTAAGGTTTCGGAATCATTGCTGATCATAGAAGGACTCCGGGAACCAACCTGCCCACTAAACACAAGCCTACATTCAGATATTTATGTGCACACTGAATATAATGTCCAAAATTAGGAGTATTATTAACATTTGTAATTATAAATTTAGGAAAATAACAATATGATACTTTCTGACAATCTTACAGAAAGCATTTTAGAAAATGATGGCCGAGTTTGCAAATTTATCTGCTGACTTGGAAGCACATCTTGGTGAGGTCAGTAAGATTTTATCTCTCAGTTGTAAACTGAGTTGCAGTTACCACCTGGCTCAGTTAAAACAACCAAATCACTCTGAAGATACAACAGTAAATACTTACATAAAACTACATAAAACTACATGAAACTGATTGTACAACATCCTTCACTTGACGGAGAAATAAATCCTTGTTTGTGTTTTTCTGTTACATATTTAATTGTAACAGAGATAATGTGCTAAGGCATAAAAAACCAGATTCAAACTAATCAGAGTTTACTATGCTGTATGAATGAAGCCGTTAGTTCTTTAACCTAGTCAGCATAAAAAAAATATAAGTTTAAAGTATACTGAAAAAAATATGGTCTTTTTTTAAAAAAGTGGTTGATTAAATAAAGACTGATTGGTTAGAATGCAGTACTGCAGGTTACTTCTGCTGCCTGCCAGCTGTCTCATTTTGGCAGTTCGAATCTCATCAAGCTCAAGGTTGACTCAGCCTTCCATCCTTCCGAGGTTGATAAAATAGGGACCCAGATTATAGGAGGCAATATGCTGACTCTGTAAACCACTTAGAGAGGGCTGTAAAGCACTGTGAAGTGGTATATAAGTCTAAGTGCTATTGCTATAAATATAGCAGAATTGGCCAGGGGAAATGTTTCCCATTTAATTTATACATCAATCATTCTAGTACAACAAGCTGTCTACTGACTAGAATGACAACAATTTAAATAATTAAAATACCCGTGAAGCAACTATGATTAAATTTAACCCAGGTTAAAGTAAAGCACTATCTAACTAATCTGTACAAAATAGACTATGTAGTGAAATGTAAGTACTGTAGAGTAGTTTCTTGTAATACAAACCTGATTTTTTCTTTGTGGCATTTAGCCAATGCTTTACAGAGGCTAGGATCAGGACATAAGTCAAGCGGTGACTGGCCCTTCTTGTTACGAATACCAAGGTCAGCTCCATTGGCTGCCAGGAAACAAGCAATAGATGCTGCACTTTTCTTCTCTGCTCCCTGAGTCCCCAATCCCATTATCAACTGGAAGAAAGTAAACAAGCAACTTCTTTGAATTTGTATTCATGGGCATAAAATATCAAAAATAAAAAAAAATCTGGTACCTGTGTGCAGATATAATTACTATTAATAAATTTTAGTAAATGCAGTTCTAGAATGCAATGTTGTACAAAATTAAGATATCTTTAGTCTGGATTTCTTTAATCTCCCTTTAGGTCTCTAGGTATTTTTGGAAAAGTGTGACTGACATGCTGTCACCCTCACAACGGGCTTATCATGTGGAACAAATCTTCTGCCCCCTACACATTTTTGTAAACAGATGAGTCAATTTCCCCAAATCATTTTTAAGTAATTTCTTCCAAAATTACGTCTTTCAACATTTGTTACCTTCCAATAGGATCCCAAACATTACAAAATGTATATTTACAATGAAGGATGACTGCAAAATAGTTCTCCAATTTTTCCCCATCAAACACACACCTTTTGACTCTTTGGGTTGCATATACATATCGTATTTCCCCACTTTCTTCTATTGCTTTCCCCACTTTTTTCCTTTTCTCCTGTGCCTGATTTCCTCCCCTGCCTTTTCCTTCTACTTTTCCCATTGTCTATCCTCAGCCAACCACAAGCCCCCACCATCTTTTTTCTTCCACTTTACTTTTGGCTGGCTGGCTGGCTCAAAAAAGAACTGTGACCTCTGGGTCTGAGCAACGCTCTCCATGTAAGCCCTAATACAATTTGGCAAAGAAAAGAGAAAAAACCATGCCTATTAAGACTGAAAATCTGAAATTTCAAAACAAAGGTTGTTAAACACTAGAGAAAGGGAAGGGCGGAAGAGAAGGAGGAAATGCTGACCTAATTTATGCTGAAAAATCTTAAATCCTATATTAACCTTTTATGCATTTTTATCCTGTCAACCCCTTTGTCTGAAAGGGTCCTTTGTCAGAGTTTTCCTGATAGTTGAGACCACAAAACCAAATTTATGGATGCTAATACTACTTTTATTATCAGATTACACAAAAACCTTGCAAGTCTGAATGAGTCTCTTCCCTCTCTGCCTTTATATTCAAGAAAACTAGGGAGGGTCAGGTCTGAGGTGATTTCTCAAATTACATTCCTGCTTTGGACTCAGATTTCTCTTATCAGACCATTGTCTTGGTTACAAGCTGTTCTTCCTGATTCTCAAAGTTATTTTCACTATTACAATTCTGACATTGTTCATATTTTAAAACTCAGCAATTAACCCTCCTGCTAGCACTGTTATAATATTAATGCAACATTTCTCTGCAATCCTTTTTAATAACTCTACTTTAAACTAGTTATTGAATATAAAGTTATTGAATATAGAAACAATACATTTGACTCCAATACATAAAGGAGACATATACATTCTTTGATAATGTGACAAAATTAGTGGAGCAGAGGAATGCCGTCGATATAGTTTACTTGGACTTCAGTAAGGCATTTGATAAGGTAGACCATAACCTACTACTAGATAAAGTAGAAGAATGTGGGTTAGACAGCATCACCACCAGATGGATTCGTAACTGGCTGACCAACTGCACTCAACAAGTAGTCCTCAATGGAGCTGCAGCTACATGGAGAAAAGTATGCAGTAGAGTACCCCAAGTCTCTGTTTTAGGCCCAGTACTCTTCAACATCTTCATCAATGATTTGGATGAGAGAATAAATGGGGAACTCATTAAATTTACAGATGACACCAAGCTGGCAGGAATAGCCAACACTCCAGAAGACAGGCTAAAGATACAGAAGGATCTTGACAAACTTGAACATTGGGCACTATCTAATAAAATGAAATTCAATGGTGAAAAGAGTAAGGTTCTACATTTAGGCAAGAGAAATGAAATGCACAGGTACAATATAGGTGGTACCTTGCTCAGTAGTAGTAACTGTGAAATGTATCTTGGAGTTCTAGTGGACAACCGTTTAAATATGAGCTAGCAGAATGCAGCAGCTGCCAAAAAAGCCAACACAGTTCTAGGCTGCATAAATAGAGGGATAGAATCAAGATCACGTGAAGTGTTAATACCACTTTATAATGCCTTGGTAAGGCCACACTTGGAATACTGCATTCAGTTCTGGTCGCCATGATATAGAAAAGATGTGGAGACTCTGGAAAGAGTGCAGAGAAGAGCAACAAAGATGATTAGGGGATTGGAGACTAAAACATATGTAGAACGGTTGCAGGAACTGGGTATGTCTAGTTTAAGAGAAAGAAGGACTAGGGGAGACATGATAGCAGTGTTCCAATATCTCAGGGGTTGCCACAAAGAAGAGGGAGTCAAACTATTCTCCAAGGCACCAGAGGGTAGAACAAGAAGCAATGGGTAGAAACTAATCAAGGAGAGAAGCAACTTAAAACTGAGGAGAAATTTCCTGACAGTTAGAACAATTAAACAGTGGAACAGCTTGCCTCCAGAAGTTGTGAATGCCCCAACACTGCAAGTCTTTAAGAAGATGTTGGATAGCCATTTGTCTGAAACGGTATAGGGTTTCCTGCCTAGGCAGGGGGTTGGACTAGAAGACCTCCAAGGTCCCTTCCAACTCTGCTATTGTATTGTATTATTTAATATTAAATGTATATGCTGCTTGATCGGAGATACTTTTTGCAACAGAAATGTCATCACACATACTAAATACTTACAATTTACACATATGTACATATATGGACATACACACACACACCAAACTGCAAATGTTTTAGGTCACCTCTATTCAAATTATCTTCTTTAATTATATATATTATATTATATATTGATGTTTAAAGATTTCAAAAGTCAATTAAATGAAATTGAAACATTTAAAAACTTTTAATATAGCTTTTGCCATATTCACATCCAGGTTTATTGTGTTATCAAATAATATTTACTTACTGGCACAGAATCTTTAAATAACTCTTTTCAGAGAACAGAAAGCAGATCAAGGCAAAAGAGCCTTTACAGCCCACTGCAAAGACAAAATTTAACAGAGAAGAAATAAAAGTTTTCTTACTGTATTCTTGGAGGGCTCCCAAGCTGTATCTACCTTGCCCACATCTTGCATGTCTTGGAGCTGGCGAAGCTGCGACAAAGTATGATGTCGCAGGGCCTCATGCAGGGGAGTATCCCCATCTTTATCCTGAATATCCAATTTAGCGCCCGCACGAACTAGAAGCTGAAAGCAAATAAAAATTTCAAGATTTTGAATACCTTTTGCAATAAATAGAATTACATTTCTTAAAAACATCTTGAAAATTAAAAACAGCTGATAAGCTTAGCTATTAAACAAGGCTATTAAAACAGTTTCTTCTTAATTAGATTGTGCAGCTTATACTTTAAACTTTTCTTTTACTCTTATTTTCATTAATTGATATGCTCACTGAATATAAATTAACCATAAATATGGTTAAACAGTAAGTAGGTAACAATGGATATCCAAAAGGAAATTGCTCCAATTCTCTATTATTGTAAATACATGAAAAAATTACCAACATGACCAATGCAATTTTCCAAATATGTTGGTGTAATGATATTATATGCAAAAATATACAGAAACATAAACTCAAAGTATATGGCAAGCAGATTTTAATAATTACATTGAACCAACCTCTATTTTATAATCACTATCTTGCAATTAAAAGTTGCAGTGTATCTTTAATCAATAGTCCAACCACTACATTCCTCACCCTCTTTATTTTCCAGATCCTTCTAATAATTTGGTTCTTCCTCTATGTTCATTTTCCATCCTCTTCTCTCTTACCATGATTATCACTTTTCCCCACTCAATCTCTATAGTGTGGTTATTAGGTAATAGAATTTACTTATATATCTCATGTGCATGGAAGATTAAATCAGAAATAGAATAAGCAGTGTTTTATTTTTGATCAATATTAAATATATTGATAATATATTTAAAAATAATTTAAGCATGATATATAAGTGGAAAAGCAACTAGACTCATTTAAACAAACCACATTTCCTATTAACCTCTCTGGAAAGAAAATAAGAGCATGAAAATGGAGATAAATTCTCTTACTCCATAATCCTTTTAGAAATCCATTTAGAAATATACGGCACAACAATAGTAAAGTTGATAAGTACATTCTTATGGTACATTATTATTGCCTTACCCGCACTATTTGAGTGTGCTGTCTTTCAACAGCAAGGTGCAGTGCAGTTTGTTGATTTACATTCTGAATATCCAAGTTAGCTGTGCCCTGAAAGAGAAATCTCAAATGTTACTCATATTAATTGAACTGAACTATCAGGATAATTCACAAAAGAAAGTATATGATAGCATAATTAAAAATTCTAGACTATTATTTCTCCACTGTTAAAACCAACTAAAAAAATCTATACATACATTTTATGAAACTGAATTAATTTTCATATTATTTCTATTTTGTATTTATCAATATTTAGCATGAATCAATATTTGATATGGAAAGTTTATGAAATGTTTCATTTGTTGTTTTCAAAATTTAAAAAGAATTTGATCTACTGAAATAACTTAATATTTTTTATAGTACAGCCACTCTTTGTTTAGGGCTACCTCATTTAGTGGCCACTCAGAAATATGATGCTAAATCATTTTCTGACTAGTGCCTGCATTTACCACCAAATTTTAGAGTCTGACAACAAAAGCTTTCAGCGTGAAACTGATTAAGGTCTGGTCAGTTGGGGGCAGCAGTATGAGCTGGTGGGAAAGTTCTAATAAACTAATTAAGTTTATAGAGGCTTGTTCACTTGAGGTTAGTACTTTTTAGGGAATCACTACTCTGTGGAGGAAAGCAGCGTGAAAAGAAATACATTGTTTAAGGAAACTCTCTGCTCTGCGAGGGCACCAAAAAGCGGGTATTGGTGAACAAAATGAAAAGAAGGGGGGAAATGGGTCAGGCACAGGACCCATTATGAGACAACTTTATCTAAATGAGAAAGAAGCAACCAGTTATTTTTGCAGAAACCCTCTCTCTCTGAGTCACATGTTTGTCTAGTGACCATTAAACAAGGAGATGGTGTATAATCCAATTCACAAGGGGAGACTTGTTCTAGAGGGCAGGCACCTCTACAAGAAGGTGTACTTTTTAGAATATGTTTATTAAGAATTTGAAATACAATAATAAAAACTAATACAAACTAAACTTAGAGAAAGAGAAGAGAATAGGAAAAAAAGATAAATAGTGCAGAAAAAAGAAAAATAAAGAAGTTATTTCCAAGCTTTATCACAAGTATAAACAAATTTAACAACTCCTACAAAGTTAAATAGGTAATTCTTCACTCCATATTCCATCCTTTATCTACTGTAAGAAAATCCATAAAATATCAACTTTTCTATGTCAGATGTTTCTTGTCGGAACATTGCAAAAAGTTACTTATTTTAACCTTGATCAAATAAATCAACTTTATATTCCTTCCTTTTTCTTCTAACAGTCTAAATTTTTACATCAAGCAAATATTGTCATAAGTTTTCTCTTTAATTTATTCTATTATACAGATCTCTTCAAATTTTTAACAAGCCTCTTTTGTAGATCCAATAAGAAAATATTTTCCAGGTCATTGGTTTATAATCTGTAGTTCCCTTTTAATTTTTAAAACTTCAAACAGTTTCTTTTGTATATCTAGGTTCAATTTAATAATATTATTTTTAGCCAATTTTTCTAATTAATTAAGCTTCTTTATTTTATTTTTGTATCCTGGGATACTAAGACACCTAACCATCCAATTTATGATTATTATACCCCACACATTATGTCTCATATTTTGTTGAGATACCATTTATGAACATTGCTCAAGTATGATTTCCAATTAAGTATCAATTAAAGGGTCATGCCAACCAGATTACAATTAAGCATTTTGCTAATCAGACTGTCATGGGATACTCTTGTCCATAAACTGCTTAAATTAAGATGTATTATGCCTGTAGCTTTCACAAAATCTAAACTGCCTGACCAAAAATGTGACTAATTAAATTAGCAAGGACTTGGACATGATTGAATGGAAGGAAATAAACCCAAAACAGTTAATTTGGTAATCTAGGATGCAATTTATATGACTTAATTCATTCAAAATAAATGGGCATTCTATAGCTTTTTTAAAAAAATCAGGAAACAATTGAAACAAGTTTCAATTCTATCCATTCATCTGGCTTTTCATACATGCTGTTTTGTTGGAGAAGAGTGAGCACAGTGATGGCTCCATTTTCTTATTTTATCTTGGTTACTAGCTGCTATTTTGTCATTATCCCAAGGTTACAGTAGCTGGTATAGTGATCTTTTTTCCTTTATTTTATTTTGAACATAGTTGAACTATATTTATTCATATGTTCTTTTTGTTTAGATAAAGCCAGTGTAAACAATTTCATTGTTTCAAATTCAATTGAAATGTCAATTTCAAATTCATTCATTAGATTTTCTACTTGCTTTAACCTAGATGCTTTCTATAGTACAGTCAATTTCATTTAATTCTGAGCAAATATGGATCTTATAAGGTTCAGTGCTCTTTTCTTTGAATAAACTATATTTTTCAATTGTTTAACTAAGGGATTCATCTCACAAAAGTGGCTATATAAATTAGAAAAAAGAAATATATGCATCTCCAACATATCAATAAAATATCCAACTACAACATAAAATAGCTGATTATATTAAAGCTTAGTTTTTGGAAATCTGTGTTATCCCACTTTGCTATCACTAAGAGAATCAGTGGTGACATATAAATGTCTTAATAATTAGTAAAAAAACCCTATTTTTATTCGGACGTAGAAAATGGATTGTAAGCAATGTATGCATCTATTTGTAACAAATAAAACATTCTTTCTTTCTGGTATAAACTTAATTAATAGGAAATTTTACCTGATGAACCAAAAGTTCTGCTACTTCTACATGATTATTAAGTGCTGCCAAATGCAAAGCAGTGTATCCATCATCTTTTTTTTCATCTACAATCCATGGTCTTGGAAGCTTAGACAGTAACACTCGCATTGCACTGAAACAGACCAAAATGAAAATGATTATATCAGTATTAACTTCTAGAAGGAATACAATTTTCCATTTAAGTGTAACATCCCAAAACGCAGTGATTATATTGCCAGGAGTTTTTATTATTACTGAAAAACTGATTTTATATGAAATACTATCCATTCTATTAAACCTTAACATTCTTTCTCAATTAGATAATGTAATGAAATCCATATTAGCTATTCTAGTAATCCATGTCCAGATCTTCTGAGTTTTATTCATATTATCTTATGTATCACCATAAAAATATTAGTTTAATACACTTTCAGTACTAATAGCTATTTTACAATCATTAATAGGGTAATGATTTAATTCTCCTGAACTCAATAAGGCTTACTTCTGAGAAAATGTATGTATAATTTCATTAAAAAAATGCATTTTTCAACTATCCTACTCAGTTTGCCACATGCAATATATATACAGACATTTATAACTGCCTAGTTACCATGAATGGGCAGCCTAGAAATCAGAGAAATAAATATATAAAATCTAGTAAATGGTATGCTTTGAAAATGGGAAGGAAGTCTCTATTTTCAACACTATCCTGTATCTCACGTTTATTCTCCCCCTCACTTGCCTCAAATATCATTACTTCATTTTTGAGAATTATGTTCCTGCAGTTCATACACCACCTGCTGTGCTTCAATCTACCATGCTGACATTACATACTTTCTTTCTCCAATTATATATGAATTGAATTTTGTATCAGACTTCATAGTGGCAATATGAGGTGTTGCAATACTTCTGTGTAGCTGGGGGTGGTGGTCTGTATAACAAGTATGTATGTGTGGGTACTTTTGTACATCTTGGGGAATGTGAATCTTTCAGTCTTCCCTTCTTAAAAACTTAATTTACCCTTCAAAACTATTCTTTTTAAAAGGCAACTTCAAATGCTCTTAAGTCTTCCTTTCTTTGCCAGATGTTTTTTTTCCCACAATGATCATAATATAAAAGCTAGAAAAACTGAGGACCAGAAAACCTTGGTGCAGTTTACCATTTAAATATATTTATATTTATATCCTATTTCAAAAACATTTTTCAAGGTAATCTATTTGTGGATAATTAAAATCCACAAATAGATTCATCAGAAAGATTTTTGAGCGCTTTCAAATAGTCTTAAAAAAAAAAGTTAATGGAACAATAAACACAATGGGGAGGGGAGAATCATATACCTATCACCCAACGTATCCATTCCATATATGGAGTGCCATAAAACAAACATGGAACAAATATGGGCATCGCTACATAGATTTATCAAGGTACGGTAGGTTTATTGGGGGGGGGGATGCAAATATAGAGATACATCTATCGTACATATAAACTATTCTTTCTGGGTGGTTATTTAAAGATACTTGACAGAGGAGTCCAATTACTTACACTATCTCATGAGTGATGGACTACTAACCTCTGTATCTTATCAATCATCAGCTGTCCACAAAATGAGCAATCAGAGAAAAGTTATACACTTGTAGAATATTTTACAGATCTAATTGTTATTGTTATTGACATTTTGTCAAGACAGAACACAAACCACATTTAATGTACAAATGAAATTACAAAAATTTTAAAAATGTTTTTTTAAAGACGAGCACATTGTTATTATATAGACACATATTCCTAAAATATGCTGTAGTTTTCTAAAATAAACTACAAGTTATAAGTTAAAACTTCAATTATCAATTTACAGTTAAAACTAAGAACATAGTTTCTGCCATCCTGATTATTACAAAGGTTTGATTCTTTACTCCACAGTGTATTTAATTATTTTTTCACAAAACAAAGTTTTCTGAAGTTTTTGAAATGTTACTTCATTCTGAATTTCCTCTTGCTTTTATTTCTAGAAGAATAAACACAGTGACTATCCGAATTTGAACCTCAATGAAACAATAATAATTAGAAAAACTTAAATTGCAATTTAATTTGATATCACAGATATACTTAGGAAATGAGTAGTAAAACTTAAGGTTGAGACATCAATAGGCAGAGTAAAAGACAGAGGCACCCTGTCTGTTCCTGGAACAGCAACCAACAGTTGAGATACTATTTTTTGCAATGGTTGACTAAATATGGTCAGGGAAGAGAGAGGCAAAAGACAGCCTGGGAGTGGATGTTTCAAATGCCTGGCTGCATATAAAGCTGAAATAGTTTTGCTAGTGCCCTGAGTAGCAAATGGATTCATGCTAAACAGCATGCATGTGGAAGTCCTGACCTCAAGAGCAGTGTTTGACCTCTAAAAATGAAAAATAACTACAAGCAACCTGTCTGGGAACTAAAATTCAAGCATGAAGAAATCAAGTCCTCTATCTATGAAGAAAGAAACAATACTTGCTTGAGAAAGGGGGATGGATGAAGGTGTATGCTGTTTTTTTTTTTTTTTTTTTTTTACAATCTCATGAACATTTTTGAATTATTTTCAATTATCTAAACAAGATGAGATTATCCTTCTTTGGGTTTTTCTAGCATCTACAGAGGATATTTCTGTTTTCTGTCCAGCAGGTTCAAGAAACTTAGTTCTATGCACAACACCTAAATGGTTAGGAAAACACAATATATACCTTGTAAGATACGTGCTCATATTTTAATTATACTTGCTTTATAGTGAAATATGTATTCATTTTCACCTCTCTATTGCTTCCCCCCTCCCACATAATGAAGAGCTGAATCAGCGATAGAGTGAACATTCAAGATGAGATGGCTGCTGCTGATGTCTCTCTCTAGGTCATCCAACTGCAAATGCTGCATGATAAGCTTACAGGTAATAGAGCATTAGAAGACCTGAATTATTCCACAGATTTAAAGGATTCATATCTGCATGTATTTTTTAAATAATTTGTGTATTTTATATATTAATCTCAATTGCAGCTTAACATACTACTAGTGTGCTTAAAGATCAAAAATTTCTAGTGTAAAGTGTTAATATGGAAAGTAATCAGCTTTGAGTAATATTATAGCTTAATACTGTTGCAGAAAAAAATCTTGTCAATTGTATTTTAAGTATTATATCTACTAATAAGCTAGCATTTCAAAAAATATTAATTTTGCAGAAATGCATTACCCCATTGCTACTTTTACATTATATTCTGGATCCATTCCATTGTATATAAAAGGGCAGGATAAGCCATGATTTAGTAATAAAGTACTTTTACTAAGAGATTAAAAATATTATTTTAGAGCATGAGTGATATAATTTAAATTTGAAACAAGCAAGTTGTAATTGTTCTGCTGCATTGCTGTTTCTTCTTGTAGAATTGTGCTAGCTCCTGCTAGTCTCTGATTTGCTCTCTATCAGCTGCACTAGGTTTTTCTCTTGAGCTGCAGAAACTGAACAACTGGTTTTCTTTAACATCATCAACTGGAGCTTTTTTTCCTAATTTTTGAAAATGTGTAAGTACTGGATGAATGTTCTTGTTCTGATTATAAACCTACTTTACAAAAGGATTTATGTATCATTTAAAATGAATTCTCTACATATTTTTTTTAAATCCAATTTTTTTTGTAACCTGATATTGGGGTTTTTTCCTGTCATGATTAATATGAACCCAGAGATAAACTACAGTATCAGTCAACTAAACCTATGAAGATATATGAGCTACTAAACTTATAACAATTGTGACATGAAAAAAATACATTTTAATATGAACTTTTCTAATTTAAAAATGTTCTGCAAAAACTAGTTCACATTGGTTTGAATTAAAAGTAAAGGCCAAATCTTCACATTTACAACTTATTTTCTTTCTTGGAATATAGTCAGCTATTTATTCGTCTATATTCTCATTAATTATAAAATACGACAATTGAGATTCTTCCCAAAGGCATACATCATTATAAAATAGATCATTTTTTTCCACTTCAGCAGATACTAATATAAATATGATAAAATATGAATGAAGACCAATGATAATGCAAGCTTAGAGTGGAATACATGAATACATATTACCATTTCACGAAGGTATTTTGTATAAACAAACTTTGGTGAAATCATCCAGTTCACCAGGCTTAATAGCCAATAAAGGCAAGAGAAACCTAACAAGCATCTGAATCTTCATGAAAGAACGTTTTTTTAAATGTGTTTTAAATTATTGTACAAGTAAAATACAGGCTTTAACTCTCAGCAATAAGGCCAGGTACTAAGAAACAAGAGAAAAATGTGTTTTTAAAATTCACCAGGAACAACAATTTTATACTTTAGTTTAAAAAGGGAACAAAATGTTGTTCAGTTTTATCCAGCAGATAGAAGCTATGAAAACCTGCCCAGAGCACATACTTCTTTATGTACCCATATGGACATACAATATTATGGAATGTAAAGAAGTATGTACTTTTGGCAGGAGTGAACAACCAGTAAAAGAAAAATAAACTATATTTCACGTGAAAGTCGTGGTTTTTTAAAAGTGAAGATAACATGTAAAAGGATCAAATGAATATTAGCATAAAAGAACTTACTAGAGGGAGGGGGGAAATAATGGGACAATTGTTTAAAGAATTGATATTAACAATATTGCTCAATCATTTATTTATTTGTTTTATTAATTCAAAACCTAAATAAAAACACTCACAACACAACATACTGTGCAACAGCACACAAATAAAATAATTACAGAATTATTTCTGGATCTTAATTTTGAAAATCACAATAAGTATTCCTTCTGAACCTTAAAAAAAAAGTCCCAATGTGATCTCTTGTCTAACCATCCACATTAATATTAAAATGATCAATCAAGAATATTGCTTATAATATGAACCTGGGAACATAAAATATGGTTCAAAACAAGGCTTTTTCATGTATGCTAAAACGAACGTATTGCGACAAAGACTTATCTCTGTTTTTGTACCTAACTTTTCCATTATAAATCCACCAAGCATTTATTGCACATTGGCACCTTTGTTGCATTTGACACAACTGTATGTGTCTAAAATTGCCTCATTTCCACTGAAGATTCAGTGCAGGAGTTTATTAATATGTTTATA